CCGCTGTTTAATTTATTTCCTGCAATGCTTGCACTATTCACGGAATAACTCTCATTAAAATATCCTTTAAAAGAGCACATATACATACATCTGAAAGACGTATGAGCCAGCAAAAATATCTCTCGCCCTCTGGAAAAAGCTGGGAGAGAAAAAGAAATGCCAAGCCGCGTGACAGAGGCAACACCATCAGTCCATGAACAGCGCGCCAACAAAATGCGCTAATATTGTTTTCATTTTCACATGCAGTCTCATGCCTTATTTATTTCAAGATAATGGGTGACAGACCAGATGCGTATCTTTGCAAGCCCGTGACGCGCGTGAACATGGTAACATGTTTCTCTTATTTACGTTCCACTGAAACGCATGTGTGACCCTGTGTTTGTGTCGCTTGTGCCGTTTCTGTCTTATCTCTCGCCTTGCCCGTGTGCGCTGCACTCTATTCCAGGTTGCCAAAGTGGCGTACGGTCATAATAACGTCGCCCTTTATTTTTTCCGCCAGGTGGCTCAGTGGAAGAGAGAGAGCGGCTCGCAATCGCAAAAGGTTGCGAGTTCAAATAATAACAATAAATCTTGGTTGGGGATTGTCCTAGGAAAAAGCGTCCCTCCAGGGTCGGTAAAATGGGCAACAGTGTGTGGGAAAGCAACCAGCGGAGGTTGTCCCGATGAATAAAGACGACTCCCACCATAGAAATGTCAAACTTCCACCACTGTCTCAGGAGCGGTGCAATAAATCACTTCACTTATCTCGCAAGCCTCGATGAGTCCAAAAGCACATTTTTAGGTGGGTCCCTGCATTGGGATATTTGGCCAATTCCACTCATGATGTTTTTTTGGCCGCGCGCGCGGAAGGAAACCCGAAAAAGCACTCGAATCTCCGCACGGCTAGAATTAACATTGGCCGCACTGCCACCTCCTGGCTCCCGCAGAGCCCAGGCCGACGACACCTTATATTCCCAGGCAAGTCGTCCTCCAAGTGCTTGCCAGACTCAAGAACTGCTTGGCTTGCGCGAGCCGCCGCGACCGGACGCATTGAGGGCGACGTCGCCCCAAGTGCGACGGCAACGGCGAGAGGCTGCCCACAAGTGGCGCGCCGGAAGTACGGCAGGCAGGCGAGCATTTTCTTCTCTTCTCATTTCGTGCCGGTGACGGTTATTTTGCCGGCGTGTTCTTTACGTGCAACAGTATTAAGGCGTCGGGTGATGCTGTATTCAAACATTTTACCGTTCATTTCTACGAGACCTATTTTGTCGATTTTTTGGGGCTTTGCGAATCGGCTTCAAGGCACAGAAGCCCACACCCACTGCACAATTCAAACGACGAGTTCACGGGAAAACTGTTTTACATGTTTTGCAGGCATTGTAAACCGCAATGACTATAGTTTCATGTCGGGTGGCTCTGCTGATTCAGACCCAGGATCTGAGCAGTGGTGCCTCACTGCTCTGACATGCATATTAGCCCCCCACCCCCCCCCCTCACTAGCCTCCCCCCCTCCACCCCCCTTCCCCTCATCCCTGAGTCAACCTGCCACATTTTATTTATTCTTGCTTATTTTCTTTACCAATTCTTCGGGAAGCTCTAAATGAGCCAAAATGAACTCATTTTTCATGTGACTCCTTCGAGGGAGGGAGAAACATGTACTTGGTCATTACAGACGCGTAAATGAGTAACAGGAAGGCCAACGCCTGCACGGTCGTGTCGTGGAATATGGAAGTGAATTCTGCATAGTCCAATGCAATGCGGCGAGGTGAAAAAACACAAATAGCCACGTCCGTTACACCACAAGAGGTACATTCACACGTGTGTCAATTCACAAGGAACCATCCACGATGCACAAATGTGCGATTTACAGTCGCATAGCCTCGCCTGACTCCGGCAATAATTGCACAGATTTTCAGTTTTTTTTCCATTTGACGTGAGTTATGAGCTCCCCGCACCAATTAAAACATTGCCCTAATAATTGCAACATTAATAATGAGTGCAGTGTCAAAAGCACAAAATCCCCTTTCATTGACAAATGTGCACTATTTACACAAAAAAACCAAACGCCTAAGGTACCGACGCGTTAGTGCACTGCCAACAGCACACAATGGCTTGCTGTGATGAACCATCGAGACGGCTACACTTAAATCCATGCACAAGAAAAACCACAATCTCTAATTGACGACGTGTGTTTTTTTTTATTCTAGAAAACACACATAAGGCAATTACAGCACCCCTTAGTAACAGTGCGCAAGAACATCGCGAGCATCTTGACTTGATCAGCCGAAGGTTCAACTCTGATGAAATAGTGTTCAATGGGCCAGACTCCGTATCGGCTTCCCAGAGAAGAATGGAGTAATGCAGTGGCTGATTGAAGGCAACACGGCAAAGCCATGTAATATGCGCTAAACCGGCGAGAGTGGCCGGGATGAAAGTCTGAAGAGAAGGCAGGCAGTTCCTGGCCCACACATTCCTGTTTCCTTTAGTAGCCGACTTCCCTTAATTAAACCCACCTGGCCACCTACGCCTACCTACTTAAAGCCCGTCCCTACGACCGCCAGGTGCCCCCCGAGAATAATCCGCTTGGCTCACGCTCGCCGGGGTTCGATGTCCCCGCGCGTGGGGATCAACGTAGCCGGTACGCACCAAGCGCGTGCGTGCGCACTCGCAGACACGCACACACGCGCAGGCTCTGCCACCTCTTCAAACAGAGTGTCACACCCTGCGACTAAGCAGACGGGCAGAGCAGACGGGGCAAAGCAGGGACGGTGAGCGCGAGCAACGCTGCGGGAGAAAATTGGAAACAGCACCGGGGGAAAACCGGCGTCAACGCGGCCGAAGAGAAGTGTCCCGCTGAGGAAGTCGTACATCAAACCCCTTAAATCGACGGCCAAAAAACTGACCGGGAAATGTACAGTTACTAAGTGCCAAACCCTTCACATTCAATCGCGAGACGACGGTCCTGGCTGGGCCGGGTCGAGATCATTACGGGACCACAGTGCGGCTAAGTGCAAGAGATGGGGGGGTCGTGTTACTTTCTGCGCATTTTCCAAACGGCGGGGGCCCGCGGGCACTTTTCAATCTCAAAAGCTTCTGTTGGCTAAACAGTAATGCCCGCTCGCGTACGCATATTGACGCCGCCTGTCTTTCATTTCACAAGTAGCCCATTGAACGCGCCGGGCAGCTGAGTGGAAGCCCACACCGACGGGCACCATCTGAAAACTCTATGTACGGCCGGAAAACAGTTATGAGGATGTCACTCATTGTACGTGTGCAGCCCTGGGTGTCAATCCACTGCTGGATGAGCGTCTCCCCCACGCCGTGCAAGTCGCGGGGGTTATTCGGCCGAAGATCACAACGCTGCTCAGCGTAGTCTGGTGAAGATGGCGATCACAGACGTGGGAGTGTAAAAGGACATTGCAACAAATGTCTTTTTTTTTTTCCTGCGCTGCCCAGAATATAGCCCCCGCAGCGGCCCAGAACGGCTGTCGCCCATCCAAGCACGAGTCAGTCTACACTCTCGCTTCATTTATGAGTTCTGACAAATCGGGCACATTGCGAGCCATTTGGTTACACGCAATCTTACTTTACTCGACCGGGTTTTATCACAAGGACTTGGGAAAGTCCACTGCCAGATAACACGAAAATATGAATCCACGTGGCATCCAAAAGAGGCCACTTCAAATTCAATGGCTCGTCCAAATGAGGGTGGGGATGTCAGCAATGCACTTCTCGGAAGGCAAGCGCAGGACGAGAAGAAACCAAAGAGGTCACTGCGGTCATCGCGTACAGCCCTGGGTGGATTCAGAATTCAAAGCCGCAAGGCTGACGGGCTTTTCGGGAGCGGCCGCCTTACGCTACACTCGATCGCACGCAAGAGAGCAGAAGACGGCCACTTACGTGAGAAGGGCTCACTGCCATTGCGTCTTCTTCCATAACACTTGTACTACAAAGGTTCATGGCCCTGGAGCCCGACCCTCGCCTTTAAGCAACACTTTTAAGTTGTTAACAAATCCCTCGATGAATCAGCATTAGTTATCTTCAGTTGTATTGGGCGCACAAGGATTTAAAAGCTGTGGGATTATGAAGAGCCACGTGACCGCTCAGAAGATTCATTGATTGAAATCGATTCTGATGATGACGATTGATGCAATGTACCATTGTGAATGAGGATTGGTTGGATATTTGTATGAGCTTTTGTTCAATTTATCTGTCGGTGTCCACGTTTGTGCTCCATTACTTCACAGCTGGTGATATGCACCTATCGAAAACTTTCCTCTCTCGGCACACTAGCAGACTGCATTTTATTTATCGAAATATGTTTTCCAAAAGCACTCCAACCTGCTCTAGCTCATCTCTATTTTACAAGTTTCATCCTTCTCAAATATCCAATAATTTACTGAGATATACATAAAAACTCACATTTATCAATAACATACACAGATAAAACACTCTGATGTGTTTTCCAGTTGTGTCCCTCCCACAACTGTTTTATATATATTTTCATTAAAATTGTTGTACTATACATATCATTGTGGTAAAGATCTATTTTAAGCCGCAATAAATAACTTATTTAGTCAAAATGTGGCAAAATTACACACAAGGTCATGTGACAACCTATATTGACCAATCAGTCCCACCTCCTTTAGTTTCCCCAACCTACAGGAACCGACCAATCATGTGGCCTCACCGTACCACACTAGGTGCAATTGAGTAGACACAGAATGATGCATCATTTCATTGACACACGCATCAAACCACGCACTTCGGTTATTGACAGATTATGCAAATCCCATGCTCAGGTGAGATTGGGGTTAATTGCGCCAACAAGGCAATACAAGATTGAACAAATGGGGCATTAAAGGCTCGATTCTTGAATCAAAATGACAGCCCCCAACTCATTACAATTCATATAATCACAGTGGCGGTGGTGGTGGAGGCGGGGGAGCTAATCTTTACGCACCACAAAAGTGAGCGGCGGTGGCGGCAGGCGGGTTAAAGCGCGTTTGCCACGGCCTTACCTTGAAAGGAGAGTTGCACAGGAACCGCTTGAACTGACAGGGCCCAGGCGTTGGCACGACGGCGCAGGCGTGGGGCGTTCGGTCGGTCGGCCGGCCGGCCGGCGGCGGAGGGGAGGTAGCGGTGGAGAAGGGTGGGGGGGGACGAATGAGAAAAAGTGGCCGGGAGAAAAATGCCACAAGATTAATAGGGTCAATAACCCTGTACTAACGGGCGTCTAACAAGGCAGGTTATTCGAGACGCAATCTCTGCTGAAACCCTAACCAGCGTGGGCCTACGGGTGGCCTGACCCCGTCTCAGAACTACCCCCTGCTGTCCCGCGCCTTGGCAATTCAAACCTCATTATTGCCTTTGACAACTGTCAAACAAGACACTCAGCTGAAGTGCCGCAGAAAGATTTCACCAGAGAAATTCCCCCAATGGCATTGCTTGTTTATATTTTTCTGTTGGATCGGTATTTTTATTTCCATTCCACCAAGCACGGTTGGCAGCCAGATGGCATAAAGACCTGAATGCATGCAGCTTCGTGACATTTATTTGCAGTAAGGCAAGCCTCTGTCATGGTGTCTAGCCCACATTCACTTCATTTTTTTTATTTCGTTCAATTTAAACCAAACACAACTGTAATGTTAAAACAATAAGGTAACACATACATTAACTCAGCATGTAAACAAGTAAACCCGTAAAAACTAAGTTTTTCACTCTAAATCCTTTATATGCGTGGCGGCTAGAGTTCTCTCGTCCTCTGGCTTGAGATGGCTGCAATCTATGGGTCAGATGATTGTCTGCCAGTATTAAGCAATTGGTAATTAAATATTTAATTATTTTCCCCTAAACAGTGTAAAATTTTGGAAAAAAAATTTCACGAAAATTAATTGTCACACACAACGAGTCTGTGTGGAAAATGTCAGCTCGATTGGATCACGGGAAGTGGGTTAAAAAACGAGCGAAAGATTTGCACGGTCCTAAGCAAGCAAGTGAACTTAATATAAAGGATTTAAAAATATATTCGCCTGTGGAGGACGCGGGGATCGATCCCGCGACCTTTGGCATGGGAAGCGAGGGCGCTACCAACTGCGCTACTCCACCACGGCCTGTGGAGGGGTTACGCTCTGGGCTCTTGCACTGTGATGTTCAGCCAAAGCTATCAATGCGTTCTATTTGAATATATGTAAAATAAAAAAATTTTGTCTAAAAAGTGTACAATTTTGGGAATTTTTTTTCACGAACAATAATTGTCTGGCACAACGAGTCTGTGTGGAAAATGTCAGCTCGATTGGATCACGGGAAGTGGGTTAAAAAACGACCGAAAGATTTGCACGGTCCTAAGCAAGCAAGCAAGCACGCGAACTTAATATAAAGGATTTAAAAATTAGATTTTTTTTTTTTACTGTATTTGATATTCAATTAAATAACATTATTTAAACCTTATCAATCCATTGTTGCATGAAACCTTGCCCAAGCTATGGCGGTCATGGAGGTTGTATGACCATACTTCACCATGTTGGTCAGTGCGGGTTTCTTCAGATACCACTCGCCACTGACATTAGAGCTGTGGCCGAGTTTGAACCCATCGTTGGGTTCATAGCGCAGTGCGCTAACCACTGCACCATTGCTCCATCCCACAGTATTCGCTAATAGTCTCAATTGAAACCACGTAATAAAGGCTACTAAATACATCAAACAACCTTTGAGATGACGTACTTCATAGGTATATTAAAGGAAAGATAAAAAAACAATTTAGAGGAAATTATGATCTTTATATTGAAACAATGCACATTCAGAATCAGATCAGAATAGGTTTCTATATCGGAGATATCCGATGAGCTTAAAATCTCTTTATCACATTCTCTGTGTATAATACAAAACGTGGCATTTCAAAACACAGTGAACCAGGAAGCTGGGTGGTTCAGGAGTCAGAGAACTGACATGGCACTTCTGAGAACTAGGGTCTCAATCTGGGTGTGAGCCACCATTGCTTGAACTGAGTTCTCGATTAGTTGGTTTGACGGCCTCACAGTCCAGTCACCAATGACGGCAAAAGAAAAACCCAATTACGTGCTGCATTCATGATATTTACTACATTTCAGCTCTGACAATTCATATGAAAATATCAATACGAGCGCCATGTTGCAAACATTTCTCCGTAGCAGGGCACGTGGGAAAATGCGCCCGCTTAGTGTGCGGATTAAAAAAGAAAGTCAAGTGAAAACAGGTCACAAGTACGTAGTTCTAGAATATCTGCCAACTCACAGCGTGCTGCAATGGTTCCACGAGCGTTCCAGCTGGACAGTGTCTCATGACGTAACACCGATGGCACAATGTTAACAGAATTGATGCATCACAAGGACCACCTCCAGCCAAGCCAGAATTAAAGCCACACCAACGCCCCAAGTCAACCTCTGTCACGAACTCCCATAAGAAGAGACCCTACTCCAGCCTGCTTCTTTTAAAATCTCGCTTGCGTCTCAGTAAGGGCCCAAATCCAGCGGTTCTCAATCCGTGGGTCTCGCTCCACCTCCACCCCCTTACCCAGGGAGGTGCTAGAGCCTTTCAAGAGGGGCGCAGGCTGTGGCATGAATACTATGCAGGAGACATTTTACTGTGTATGGTGGAAATCAGCACCATGATGTAGATTAGAAGACAAACTAATATACAACAAAAAATAAAATGCCTTACGAACATCATGTTGACTAAAGCCTTGGACATATGATCTTTCTGCGTATTTTGGTCTTGATTGGAGGGGCAAAGGAGGTCTAATGATGTAGATGCTTACCCCGAGCCCTCATTATTTTGATAGTGCATCGTCTTTGAGCTGTACGCCTTTTTGCGTCCTCTGGTCTAGCACCAATTGAGACGAGGCTCAAAAGAAAGCCGTCTGGTGTGGACCAATCAGTTTCAAGGACAATGCATATATTATTAGTGTGTTTTTTGGTTTGCATTTTGACCACAGGTATTGTGGTTAATGCAGACATGATTCCTTGTAAAAAGGTTTCAGTTTTGTTGCCAGAAAAAAAGGGGAAAAACCCTATTATTATATTTTGGTACTGGCAAAGGAGGTCTAATGATATACTTGCATCGTTACTTAAACATTTTCCTGGGTTTTGCACAAAAGAGGACACTTGCCACAATGGCGTGTGGGGCATGTTTTTGCAAAAATACATCCGTGTCATCTTCACAATGGCAAGTTTGCCTTCATGGAATTTTAGGTACCTTAAATTTAAAATTTAGGCCATGACGGAAGTGGAGTTATTTGAAGATTCACAGGCCTGGTGGATTACTAACGTGCTGCTAGCACTACTCTGCAGGGAGGGCATGCGCTGTTGCAGTCATCTGGGAGGGAATCACGTGAGAATATGCAGTTAATATAAATGCTGGGCAGTGCAACTGCTTAGTTTGCAATGCACAAGAATTATCAACACTTTGGCATCTATTTATTTTTGTTGCTTTTACACAATGTTCCATGTTACCCTCTTTCCCTCGCTGCCACATCTCAAGTCCGTTTAACCCCAGCCCTATTTTACGCACACAATTTCCAAAGTGGAATGTTTTTATTTCCGCCATGGTTTTCGCGTGGGTAAATTTTCTTTGTTCTCTTGCTTGATTTATGCAGTACATAGCCAGCAAGAACAAAGTGCACAAAAAACGAGTGCTAAGGTTCGCAGCAACACTGGAAATCTAAGCAAGCTGGGCCCATTCCAAATTCTACATTTTGTCCCAGATTAACAAATCGATGACAGGCCACCGGCGTGATTAATGAAGATCGAGGATGGCCTTCACTCCTACGAGCAGCAGCACATGGCTTGGAACAGACGGGCAACAGCACTCCGAGCCAACGGCAGCACGAAGCCATGAAACTATCTGCAGCAAGGATGGATTACCCGGCACTGGCTAAATTTCATTGGGCACTACATTATCAGCATGCTCATGATCCCGATGTAGAGAGACTGCCCTTCTTTTCTGAATTTGGCAGACAAAAGGCACCGACACCCATAAGAGAGGTGGCTGGAAAAAACTAAAAAGGTAATTTGTATTTCTCTGCCGTAGCTTTAGCCAGGACGTGCTCAGATATAAATTAGAGTTCCGGCATTAGGATTGCATAAATCTGGCTGCCAAGTGGGCTGGCGGGTCACGTAGAATACGGTTGTTTTGCTTTGGTTTTGCAGCCCAACATGGCTGGCGCCACATCATCATCATCATCCTGCCTTATTAATCCTGCAAATGTAGCCCGACTCCCGTTGCGGCAAGCGAGACTCGGGAGGATTTGCTTTGGGGAATCACGTGCCTGGCAGGGCATGGCACAACTGGCTCTGTTAAACCTACAGACCATCATCACAACATGCCAGGCAAAGCAGAAACTTATTCACATATGCAGAATGTAGCCCGGGGCACAATAAGCAGCCAAGTGAATGTTTATATATTTTGTGCTAATAATGATACCCATGGGCTCGTAAAAATACTGTTCACATGATCCTCTCATACGGATTAGGTGAATCTTTTAAGGCATATCCAACAATAGGCAAGATGAGATGACTGGAAGCATGTATAATTTCCTGTCAATGACATCGCTACATTTTTAACTCATTGCTGCTGAACATGTTCTATGGTTAAAGTAGTCGGTCATGGAAATGCAAAGACAATCATTACATTCAGTGGCTTTCCTGAAAAAAATATCACTTTGTATTCATTATTTTATGTGTTTTGTGAGATACATCAGGCTGAGAATGTGGAACACAATGCACGGGCCAACACATTAACGCATTTTTTCGTTATCACAGATTTGAGAAAGAAACATGTTTTTAATCAAATTAAACACCCACTTGGTGGGGCCATCTTTGTTCCCGTGAGTACTAAAATCCGTGCCAGACTATCAAAGGACGCTAAGTCCTTCTTGCCAAGTTCTTGCCAGATGGCCTTACACGAGCTCGACTATATAAAACACTTTCATAGCATCAATGTGTCTAGGCATGCAAGCCATCGAGTACAAAGGGTCGTTCAGTTCATCAGCCAAGAGAATTGAAACTAGACGTGTTTA